CTTCTAAATTTCTAAAGTTAAAAAATGAATAAACATGGACGTTGTTATTACCTTCCATTTCAACCTCTATGAAATCCTGAACATTGTTATAACTTTCAATTGTGTTCATTAATTCCCCATGGCAGGTTCTTAGACAAGAAGCATTTTCTTGTGGCTTCAGTTTTCTAATTGATCGATGCCACCCTGGCTCTCCGCCAGCAAATATAAGAGGTTATTGTAGTGGATCATAACATCCAAAATATTGTCGAATGATTTGCGGTTGGGTGTTCTTATCATGAGTCTTAGGATAAACCTAAATGTGCTGACCTATGACCTGTTCAGGTTCTTTAGATTCTAACCATATACCAGCAACTTGTGATGCAGAGGGCTTATTGAAAACATTATTATCAAATGTGGGATTAGCATGTAGAGCAATCTTATACTTTGATAAGTTTTTTACATTATTGAGACTTCGGAAGAAGTGAGCATAAGGATTGTTTTTCAAAACATGCATCAAAACTTGGACAACACTTTCTTTAAATTTTTTAGAACTTATGGCTAACCGGTTTTCAAGTTCGTGTTCCGTGTCATAAAAGTAAAGTTGCAGGGTTTTTGGTTTTTCATTGTCAGATGGCATTAATGTGTCCATAAAATGGTACAACTGACCCTGAACACGGAATGTGTAAACCCCTTCATTTCTCTGGGCTAAACATTTATCATAGTGAACACCCAATGATGTAAATGCAAACATATTATTATAACTGCGGACACAAGTTTGAAAATGTTTGCATTCTTCTGAATTTCCAGTATATAGTTGTACTAAAGTTGGTGGCATAATTATTTCTTGCAATTTTATTTCTCCAGAAGAACAACAGAAACCCGGTGGTTCAACATATAAACGCTTTGCACCACAAAATTGGCAGTTTGGCGCATTTGGCAAAAGGTCAGGGCTACTTGCTATAAATTCTAAAGGATCAGCTATTTGTTCTTTCCTACGCTTTTTACGGTAATTATTCCTTACTTCTACACGTTGTACGACTGAATTATGTTTTCTTTTTCTCGTCATTAATATTTCAGAAATTAAATTGTAATTTCACACAGATATGCACAAAAGGCAAAAAGAATTGGCAAAATAAAATGACTTGAAACTTAAAAACTGCAAGAGATGAAGTAACTGATAAATAAAAGACGATCAGACAATATAAAAAACATACATGCTTCCAGATGCGTCTCCTAAAGTGAACATTTCTAACTAATTTCTTCGGTAATGAACGCACTTTCCAAACTTCAATGCCTTTTGCAAACTGTTGAAACAAGTATGAAATTAATTTATATTAAATAAGATCCAATAACACAATTCAAAGAATGCAGGAAATAGGGAGCTCATTGTCAAAACATTTCGGCGAGAAGCTTCTACAATTTTATTCCATTGTCATCACAGAGACAATGATCCAAAAAAAAATAAAAAATGCAAAGCAATAAAAAGAGAAAGGCAACATTCGGAGGCAACATGCAAAAGAATAATTGTTGCTGTTGAATGACGACAGACTAAAACGAAACCCAAACAAAGACAATAACAATGAAAGTGTGGGTATTGATTTTGAAAGAAAACCGGCAAAATTCCTTTGGTGCATTAATTCTGCTTATGATTACTTCAAATTAATGTTTGCTATGATACATGGGATTTGAAGTGTAGGATCACCTCTCTAAAATGGTCCTTTTGGCTATTTACTTTGCAATTCAACTAACAGCATTAGCTTCTTCTAGATGACTTACCAAAGAGCCATTTTACTCAAATTTGACTCTATTTGGATCAATGGTTTTGCTTTCATTATGAGCAAAATTTAGGTGCACTACATATACTAAAACTGGCTAAAAAAAAGAGCCAGTTTAACCGATGAGCTCTTTGCCTAAGTAATCAACCTAGGATTCAATTTGAAGAAGGACCACTCTAACAGATGAGCTATTTGGTAGGGTAATCAACTCAGGAATCAATTTGAGGAAAGACAGCATATAAAGCTTCAAGAAAAGATACAAAATAGAAACTTGTGACTACGAAGTTAGAGTTCAAATTCAAGGAGGGATAAAGCAAAAAGTCTGAATTTCCTTGAGGTAACTAATTCTAATTTCCTGATAGAATTTTGTCTCAGGAATGTACATTAAAATATATAAACTGGGATTAGATAGACATGTTTCTTCTAATATACAGCAGCAATCTCATTAAGTTTACCAGATTGTGGAAGGTCCAACATGATTTAGTACAAGGCTTGCATCACATATTGCATTTTCTATCATCGACCTAACTTTGTAATGAGATGAAGTTTGTTGTCTCTAATTCTCTCCCATAAACTCCCTGGCCAGCCTACTATTTCCACATACAGAGCATTAAGAGATTAAATGTGTTCTTGATGCTAAGATAGCGTGATATTGTTCCTCAGTAATGAAAAAGCAATAAAAGATCTGAAGTTAATTAAATAACACATAGCTAAGAGACAAACCAACCCTGCATGAGTGTGTGCTAGATGGTATTGGCGTATTGCTACCTGTTTCAAATCAGTAACTCAATTTACAAAGACATACATATAAATAAACTGAAATACTACTACGTAACAGGATGTAGATGGAATATATAACATGATTTTAATAAACTAATAGCCCCAGTTGTCATGATCAATTGGCACTTCCATTCAAAATCTGGACCAATTCAAATGACCACATTCGAGGCATTAGTCCTTCAACAGTGGCTTCTGGAATTTGGAAAGGGAGTTTTAAGAGCTCAAGTAGTTCCCATTTCCAAATTTATGAATGCAGACAAATGGTGTAACATCCGACCATAACTCACAAGCAAAGAAAATTGATGATGCTATCTCTCCAAAAATGCACTACTCGTTTCTGGCAATATACTATAATTAACAATATGTCCAATTAATGAAATATTTCAAAGCAATATTTCATCAACCACTTATAGCAGGCTGGACTCAAAGCAGAGATAAACACTGCGTGATCGTAAAATAGAGTGCAAAACCTTAATCCTTCAAACATTTTAAACTTGATAACCAAAATCAAAGGGGAAAAAAAGCCTTAATCCTTGTCTACAAAACACTAATCAAGCAATATTACAAACATTAAAGCATGAGACTAACTAAGATTTATCTAAGTGGGAAAAACAAAGTATACCAAATTTGGGTTAATAGACTCAATGATTTTAACCAAAATAACAAGCAAAACCTCAGAAAAAGAAAGCCCCCTCTTGATACGTGCAAGTAATGATAAACAAAGAAAGCCCCCTCTTCTCTGTGACCAGTAAAGAAAGTTAAACAAAAATTTGCAGAGAATAGGATTCTCTTTTGAACAACAAATTAAATCTAAACTGAGTATGTGAAATCCTTATTTTAACAATTGCTCAATCATTTTCAAACTGACTAATTTTTGTAACAAAGGAAGAATGCACAATCGTATTGCCTATATGCACCAAAAAGAACAAAACAGAGAGATTTTAATTCTTCTGTGAACACTAAAACCAAAATCACAAGCAGCCCGTTTCAAAGAAAATAATGACAAGCAGCAGCAAATTTTTTCCGCTACATATAGGCCAAAGCCGATGCAAAATTTTCTCTAATACCAATAATCAAACACTTAACAAGCCTTAAAAGCAAACACTTTGAACACACAAAATGAATTGAATTCAAACCTCTAATTACTGTCTTATAGAACTAATTATTGAGCTCATAGATAGGTCGTTCGTTGAATGAGTTCTTTAAGAACAAGATTCGAACACCTAATGTGCAACCTAAAAAACAGATCTCAAGTTCAATTTCAGTTGCAAAAACCCCTGCACCACTAAGAAATTCATCCTACTCTTCTGTTTAAAGTAATCAATGATTTTATTATCCACACACTAATTTAACAAAATAAAGTTTAGTATGAATGAACTGAAGAGATGGTTTGAACCGAATCAAATAAATTTGAATCAAAGAATAACCAATAAGAATCTAAAAATTGCTAACCGTATTGTACCTTTTGTTACTTCTTTAACTCAACTCTTTCTTGTCGCTTCTAAATCTGTACGCCTCCGCTGATAAAATAAATCCACATGCTATTTTCAGACCTGAAGCTCTAAAACATCGATAACATGAAGCAAAAGCAGAAAGAAGCGGAGGAAAGAACTGGAAACATAAAAATTAATTTTAAACACAGAAGAATCCTTTGGATTTGAACAAAGAATGCCCACGTGGAAGAAAAATGGACTGCCCAAGGAAGCCGCAAGGCAAAAGGAGCGAACTACCCAAATAGAAGAAGAAGGGGGTCCAATCACTTATCGCTATGTCACCAAAAGGGAGAGACAACTTGGAAGAAACCGTGCCAACATCTGCCATTCCCCCTTTATATTATGTAGATAATAGTATCCACTCTCCCTTATCCAAATTTTCCCTTAATAGGAAGATAAAAATAGTCATTCAACTTGTTTGTATTTTTAATTATTTAATTAACTAATTTTTATGCGAAAGCCTTCAAATTTCGCCTGATTTGAAATTTTTTCCCACTCACCCCAAGACGACAGACACTTGAGAATCCTGAACCAATCAGCCTTTGATAAACTCCAAAGGGCAAATTCAATCCCAAAATCGTATCCTCGCCGACTTTGTTTCAACACCTTCTCAAATTTACTGATTATTAGTGCCTTTCCGATGACCGGCGTTCTGGAAACCCTAACCGTGCCTTGTGCCACCTTTCCTTCTCCGTCGGCTGCTTCAGTTCCGCTTGCCGGTTCTTCGTCCATCGCTCGTTTCAGATTCTTCGCGTGCAAAGGAGTTAATGTCCGGCTGACTAGCTCGTCGTTTCTCAGTTCTGGTTTTAGCTCCAGACTCGGTCCCTGTGGAAATGGATTTGTTTGGGAGACGCGGAATGCTGACGTTTCTGGTTAGACTTTATCTGTCTGTTTGTTTTTTCGTTGTTTTGTTTGTTTGTTTGTTTGTTTTTTTTTGATACATTAAAGTTTGAACTTTTGCGCACCTGTGGTTCTGGATATAGTTGAATCGATTCGATTTCTTATAACGCAGTGTGTTTGTTTGCTCATCTTGTTCAATTTGATCTTTATGCTGTTTCTGATTGATGGATATAAATGAGGAGTCTGCCACTTTTTTATTTTATTTTTTTTAGTGGATGAATTTGGATCACTAAGTTGAACTGGGATGAATACTTTTTGAACTTAGCCTCCTTAGAACTAACAGACAGTTTTGCCGCATATGTCGCAAAAGGAACTACTACATTAGTTGGAAGATGAACTGTAGAGATTACTGCACTCATGTATAATCTTCGATATCTATTTGAGGCTATTATGTTAGATATTCAAATTACATGATTTTAGTTTTATTCTGAGTCTTTTACAATGTTCTCTTTTTGAATCTTCCGGCTTCTTCTATTGTGAGTCTTGTTACTTTATTTTCATGGAATCGGTTACTTGAATTTGTTATCATCAAAATTTTTATTAGCATGATCATTTTCTAAATCATTTTGGATGGATTCTAGTTTCATTTCGAGTCTCTTACAAAACTCTCTTTTTGAATCGTCCGGCTTCTTCTATTGTGAGTTTTTTACTATATTTTCATGGAATCGGTTACTTCAATTTGTTATCCTCAAAATTAGCAAGATCATTTTCTAAATTAGTTATTTGGATGGAACTTAACTGTAATTCTTATTCTTAACTAGAATGTTTGTTTCCATAAATGTTATGGTATTCCTCATCCAGCCTTCCACCATCTGCACTAATTGATGTTTTCTGCCAGAACTTTTTCTCAAGCTCCAAAATGCTTAATTATAGATTACGCGACCTGTGTTATTATATATCCATTTCGGTTCTAAATTTAATCAAAACTTTTAATAATCTATTGGGATGGTTCTTTTAGTACAAGTTACAACTAAGTCTTGTTCCTCACTTTTTGCTGCAGGGACTTTCCGCCATGCTGTGAAGTGCTCAATGAGGTCTTATAGATTATCGGAGCTTACACCCTCAGAGGTTGATAAACTGAAAGCCCGGCCCCGAATTGATTTTTCGTCAATATTCAGCATTGTAAGCCTGGAATTCGAGTCCTATTCCTTTCGAATTGTGTTTTGTTTTTGTTTATTTCATGTTATTTGATCATTTAAGTTTTCCTATATTTGGTCTACTGAAATTTTTTAGTTTCTTTGGACATTCATATATCTCAGGTTCAGCCCATTGTTGATGACGTACGAGCCAGAGGTGATATAGCTGTCAAAGAGTGCGTGCTTCTTTATCTTTTGGGTTTGTATTTTCTGATTTTATGGTTGCTTCATTTTATAGTATTTGTGTATATTAACGTGTTTGCCTTAAAAAAATTAGCCATGTGAGTGGGGGAGATTCAAAAGATTTTTGTGAAGTTGATTGGAGAAAAGGGGTTGTTAACGTTTAATAGCAGATTTGTTTACGTCCAATTTTCATTTTTGAGATTTTTTTTCAAAAAAAAGCGTGAGAGTGAATTATTAGATGATGTAATTCAAAAAAATTTTATTCCACTATGTGGAGTGAGCTGATAATCAATTTCTTGTGTTGCTAAAATTATATTGCAACTGTAAGGTGAAACTGTAACGAGTTTTCATATTGTGCATATACAGTAAATTTAATAGCCTTGAAACTTGAACCTATTACTTCCAATGCATGCAAACTGTCAAAGTTTCTGTGACTGTCAACCCGTGGTCAACCATGAAATGAAAGATATAATTGTGATATAGGGCTCAGGTGACAAATAGAATAGACTATACTCGTAGAAAGCTAAGGTGGATTCTTCTTGGTTTACCATATCCATTCAAATATATCTGTGGACTTGAAGCAAGCACTGGAAGCTCAAAGTTAAAAAAATTGGTTTCTACTTTACATCATTTGAGTTTTCCTTGATGGCTTAGGGTGTTATTATTTATTGGTTTTTCAAATTTCTGAAGGGGAAATCAATCCTTAGATGCTGTGATTTTTTTGTCCAGATATACCAGGAAATTTGACAAAGTTGAAATGGACATGATCGTTGATGACATCAATGATCTTCCAGATCCAGAGGTACTTAACTTCTGTATCCAGAACTGTTCTAGTTTTATATTAGTGATTATTGATTTCAAGTAGTTCATAAACATACATCTATGTGGTGCCTATTCGAATGTGGCACAAATTTTGTTCTTGCATACACGTACCAGACCTTCTACGGAGTTCTTTAATCATTCGTGTAATTATTAGTTATTGGTGAGTATTTTGAAGTTTTACCTACTAATTCATTCTTGTCTTTTAAATTCTAGCTTGATGAGGTTGTTCGAGAAGCTTTTGATGTGGCCTACAACAACATATATGCTTTCCATGCTGCTCAAAAGCCAGTTGAAAAATTTGTGGAGAACATGGAAGTAAGTCGTGTTAGTTCTTTTCTGTTGGAAATAAAGACTACCATGCATAACTGATTCATGTTAGAGTTAGTGCGTGATTTTTGAACATTCTTTCCTCCTGTTTTCAGGGTGTAAAGTGTAAACGGGTAGCAAGGAGCATTTCTTCTGTAGGGCTTTATGTTCCAGGAGGAACTGCAGTGTTACCTTCAACAGCTTTGATGCTTTCAGTTGTATGGTGATTGATTTTACTGTTTTGTGATTCCGGTTCATATGTTTAACTATATCGCATTGAGTTTGTGAATCGATGGCGAGGTTGATTTTTGTTTTTTCCCCTGCCAGCCTGCTCAAATTGCTGGCTGCAAAACTGTAGTGCTTGCAACCCCTCCTGGTCAGGATGGAAGCATCTGTAAGGTAATAAACAGTTAATTTTTGAGACCTACATTATATTTCGGTTCTCAAAGAGATAATCAAAACTTTTGTAGGAAGTTCTATATTGTGCGAAAAAAGCTGGTGTTACTCACATTCTGAAAGCTGGGGGAGCTCAGGTTTTGAAGCTTTAACTCTACTTTCCGTCATACTTGATGCTTATGGATCTTATGTTCCAAATTTAAGGAAGAATAGTTGGTCGTAGAATGTAGAGTTTCTCTTACTTCTTGTTTGCACTTTTGCAGGCCGTTTCTGCGATGGCCTGGGGCACACAATCTTGTCCCAAGGTATTATTAATGAGTTTGCACCTATTTTAATCATCTGGCATAATTTCTATCTGTTGTTTGGACATTCGTGCTTCTTCCTCTGTGTATATTGATTGTTGCTGGGCTCGTGTTCAATATTGGCTAGCATTGATTGTTTTTGGTATTATGCTTGAAATATTTGATGTTCCTATAAAAACATGTCATCTGGGTCAATTTTCTTCTTATAAAAGTCAGTTCTTGTTGTAATGAAATTAAGATGTCGTTCCCACTTAGGTGAGGAACCGTCTTCATTGTTGTGAAGAAATTGAGGAGGCAAGAAGAGATATTAGTTTGGCAAGATATGAAACCTGAATATTGCTGCACTGATTTTTTAACTGACTAAGAGGACGAGTTTGAGTCTGTCCTATTCTTTTTTAAATTCTGCAATGGACGAAGCTATTCCAAGTGATGCAAGATAACGACTGACCAGTAGGCCTAGTGGAAAAGAAGGCTGGAAATAAGAAGAGTGTTCCTGGAAATTAATAGAGACTCGTCCTTCTATTGAATTTCTCATCATAGTCTTATATGTGGCTAAGACTTGTCATCATTTTTGCTTATTACTATTAAATCTCTACTCCTAATTTTAGTAAAACAGTCTTTTCATGAAATCATTTTATTTAATACATGGTTTTGGAGTTCTGATTGCTTTCATTGTCCACTATTCTTGAATACTTAAAGAAGAGAGAATCATTTTATCCAGCTGCCCGTGATAAGATTAGATCAAGTGTTTGTGGGATTTCTGTCGCTAATTGCCCAAAGGAACAATAATTGATGAATATGTACATTGTTAGGTGACCACGAGATATTTATTAGCATTATGCAACACGGCGTATTAGTCTGGATGAGATTATGTGACCTTCCTCAGATTGCCCGGATGCTTCTGGTGTACTTAGATTTTGAATTCTGATTGAAGTCCAAGACATTTTGTCCCTTATATAAGTGGAAGTGTTTCAATACCTTTCGATTAATCATTTTAATCTATCCAGTCCCTTATGGTCTTCTCTCCTTCCCCATAAAATGAGCTATTAATTTTGTAATTCAAGTATTACATTCTTGTTTCGTTCTCTCCTCCAGACTCAAGGAAATCCTTGCTATTTTTGTTGATGAGGTTTTAATAACTTCACCATGTACCCTAGGAGAATAGGAATGACTATATGCTGAACAGCCTTGGCATGAAGAATATAGTTAGGTTGATGTAATCAGTAACTAGAAAGTGAACCGGAAGATATGGAAAGCGAACCCACACTGCCGTTTTGTCCACTGCTGCATCGGAGGCAAAGGACTCCGGGTACCAATGTCTCACTGTAAGATAATGACCAAAAATCAACCAAGGCCCCTCCTCCAAAGCAAAAGTAAGATCCTCAGAGTTAGAATTTTGTTCATTAAAATGTTAATAAAGAAGCCGAACCGTTTAGCAACTTTGGGCTGAAACGATGTAGTGCTGCCTCAAACTGGTCCACTTTTATTTGATCTCCTGGATTCTTGTAGATGCTGCATGAATGTGTCTATGCTTTTCTGGATTGCTACCATATTGAAATCTACGGTTAATCTGCAGGTTGAAAAGATATATGGCCCAGGAAATCAGTACGTTACCGCTGCGAAAATGATTTTACAAGTATTCATGATTCTCTCCCTTGATTTCTGTTCTGTGCAGTTATATATTCTCTTATATTGTGACAGATTGGCCTCATTCTTTTTTCAATATTATGTACTTCCTCCAGAACAGTGAGGCCATGGTATCAATTGACATGCCTGCAGGACCATCTGAAGTGCTTGTAATAGCTGACAAACATGCGAGTCCCGCACATGTTGCAGCTGACTTACTTTCCCAGGTGTTGAATCTTTCTGAATTTTAAAATTGTTGCTTGGTAAAGATTTTTGAGCCTCTTGTGAAATACAAATTCACGTGGGAATGTCATTTTCTTTATCCATGTTATGGATCATAAATAATCAAACTAAGTACAGAAACCTGTTAAGTTCTTGAGAAGAAATTGAACTGAATTCAGATGGTAATGTTTGTATGCACTGATTAATGATCCATGTGGATACTGAAAGAATTTTGTTTTATTTCTTTTGTGAATTTCAGGCTGAGCATGGTCCTGATAGTCAGGTAGTGTTGGTCATTGCTGGAGAAGGAGTTAATTTAGATGCCATTGATGAAGAAATCAACAAACAGTGCCAAAGCCTTCCAAGGGGGGATTTTGCTTCAAAAGCACTCAGCCACAGCTTTACAGTGCTAGCGCGTGACATGGTTGAGGTATCCTATTTGCTAGGACTCTTTCGAGTTTGATTCTTTGTCCATCTGAGCTTTAATTTGAACTTAAGATACTTGAACACAATCTACTTTCATTTTTTATCTGATCTTAGAGTTGCTCTGAAAAATTCATGTGCACTGAGGTCTTGAGGTCTGGGACTTAAATGATACAAGACGAAAATCTTAGACATTAATTTATGAAATGTGTATGATTTAAAATTTATTTTCTTTGTGTCTCAACTTAAGAAAATTTTCTTCTTTTTAATTCATCATCTGTGAGAAAATGATTTCCATATTGAAGAAAGCCTTATTTATGAACTGACACGTTGAAGAATGGAAACTTACCTTAATTACCCTAATTAGTGCTCACAAGAAAAGGAAAAGAAATTCAACCGTAACTTGTCTACTGATGATGGAATACTTCTGAATACTTTGGAGATTCTATGATTCTGGTATGTCTCTTCAGACATTGCAGAAGATAAATTTTTCAGAATTCACAATACTAACTCAAGTGAAATGCAGCATCCAAGTGGAGAAAGAAGTGTTGATATAAGATAGGAAGATCTTGACTCACACATGCTCTGAGAACCCCTAATGGAATTTTTTGCACATTCTTGGACTATAGATATCATCTGTGTTGGGCCAGTAAATGGGAAGTGTTAAAATCAGAGATTTTATCATGAAAAGAAATAAAAGATTTCTGTGAGAGAGAACTGAGATTCTGTGGAAAAGAGATGTCTTTCCTTTGTTGGAGAACCCTCTTTATATAGGGTAGGTATTAGCCTAACAAATAGATAGATACATATCTAAATCTAATCATATCCTAGATTTAAAATTTAAATATATACAGCTAAAAAATAACAACTAGTAGAACAATAAAATCTGCCAACTTTAAACAGCAAATCTTTAAAGATTTGTTGATTCTGTTGACATCCCCCCTCAAATTGATGCTGGTAGGTCAATTAGCATCAATTTGCTAACAAGAAAGTTATGGCGTTGACTTGGTATGGCTTTGGTGAGAATATCTGCAATCTGTAGCGTAGTAGAGATATGTGGGAGGCTAAGTACTTGGTTATTATATGCTTCTCGAATATAGTAACAGTCAACCTCCATATGTTTCATCCTTTCATGGTAAACAGGGTTTGCTGCAATTTGGATAGTACTAGTATTGTCAGCATGTAATGGAGTCGGTTTAGTTTGAGGAAAACCAAGTTCTGTGAGTAATTCCCTTAACCAAATATTCTCTGAACACGCAGCTGATATTGCACGATACTCTGCCTCAGTAGAAGATTTAGAGACATAGTTCTGCTTTTTGCATTTCCATGAGATTAGAGCTTCACCAAGAAACATACACCAACCAGTAGTTGATTTCCTAGTGTCAGGGCATCCTTGCCCAATCTGCATCACTATAGGCCTGAAGCTGGAGTGAAGAACTAGCCGGGAAGAATAATCATCGATTAGAAGTGCCGAGAAGGTATCGAATGAGGCGTTTAACAGCTGATAGATGGAGATGCCGAGGGGATTACATAGACCTACTCATAGCATTGCATAGACCTACTCATAGTATGGACAACATAAGAAATATCTGGGCGAGTGATAGTCAAATAAATTAGACTACCAACCAACTTACGATATAAAGTAGGATCATCAAGAAGCCTTCATCCCGTCGATACTTCACATTAAATTCCATTGGAGTGTCAACTGGACTACTACTTGTGAGGCTAGCTAACTGAACCAAGTCTTGAATATACTTGTATTGGTTTAAGATGCCTTTAGACTGACAATGAACTTCTAAATCCGAAAAAATGTTAGCTGGCTAAGGTCTTTCATATGAAAAGTAGAATGCAATAATTGCTTAATCTAAGTGATAGTCTCCATATCAGATCCAGTAAGAACAATATCATCAACATAAACAAGAAGAACAACAATGCCCTGAAAAGTCTTTTGAAGAAATAGAAAAGAATCATATTTGCTCTGCTTGAATTGAAAGGCAAGTAAGGTAGATCGAAATTTCTCAAACCAAACTCTAGGTGCCTGCTTCAAACCATATAAAGAACGTTTTAGTTTGCAAACATCATTAGGTGAAGAACTAGGCATACCAGTGGGTAGTCTCATGTAAACTTCTTCTTTTAAATCTCCATGTAAGAAAGCATTTTTGACGTCATCTTAGCACCGAAAGTTTCCTCATAATCTAGGCCATATTCTTGTTTATTTCCAAACACCACAAGCCGGGCTTTATACCTCTCAATGGAACCGTCTGAACGTAGCTTAACAGAAAACAAAAAGTTACTACCAAGAGGTTTCACAGGCTGAGGACAAATTACAATATTTCAGGTGTGGTTTGCTTCAAGTGCAAGAAGTTCTGTTTCTATAGCTTTTCACCAACACTCATACTTCATGGCCTGCTTATAAGATGATGGAATAGAAACAGATGTCAAGGTAGTCGACAATGATACCGGATTAGAGAACCCATACCTTTCTGGGGGTTGTCTAACCCTGGAACTTCGCCTTGAAGTATTGGCAGCTATAACAGGATCAACAAGGGAATCAGTTTGAGGGACTCCTGAAGTTGGATGTTCTGGGGCTGATGATGTGATTTGGGTGGGTGGTTTACGCCTTTGATAAACTAATAGAGGTTTAGGAATCGGAGGTATATCAGTTGAGAGATCTCCTTCAGAGTTATCATTAAATAAATGCACCACAGAATGTGAGGGGGTGAAAGGTTTTTTGAAAGTTGAGAAAAAAATTTGATTTTCAAAAAATATCACATTTCTAGATACTCGAATTCGACGCAACTCAGGGTCGTAGCAAAGAAAACCTTTTTGGTGGACAGAATATCCTAGAAAAGCACATTTAGCTGACTGAGCTGTGAGTTTGGTGCGTTCATATTTAGGAAGGTGGACAAAACACACACATCCAAAAGTACGCAAATTAGAATAATCTGGACTATGACCATATAATCGAGAGAATGGAGAGTCATTGTTCAACAAAAGAGGGCAATCTATTAATAAGATACACAACAGTAGAGAATGCTTCGCACCAAAATTTAGATGGCACAAATGACTGTAATAAAAGGGTACGAACAACATCAAGAAGATAACGGTTCTTCCTTTCAGCCACCTCGTTTTGTCGAGGGGTTGAAGACAAGATATTTGTGAAATTATGCCATTTTCTTGTAGAAATCCTTGAAATTCAGAAGACATATATTCACCTCCATTATCAGAACGAAATATTTTGATTTTAGCACAAAATTGGGTTTGAATATATGCATGAAAGAGTTTGAAGACAGAAAGTATTTCAGATTTAGACCTCAGAAAATAAATCCATGTAAATCGACTGTAGTCATCTATAAAAGTGACAAAGTTCTTAAAGTGAGAATGAGAAATAACTGGAGGCATACCCCAAACAGTGATGTTTGGGGTATGCCTCCAGTTGAAGCGAACCAAGAGGGCATCATATGTTTGGGGTATGTCTCCAGTTGAAGCGAACCAAGAGGTCATCATATTTTTCTGAAGACATGACTAAGAGAAACTTGGACTAGGATGACTATGAATGGAGAACTAGATGACTAGTAACACCAGAAAAACTTGGGCTCAGAAAACTAAGAATTTGAACGAAGAATAATGGATGAGAGTCTACAAAAGTAGCTCTGATGCCATGTTAAAATCAGAGATAGATAGGTTAAGAGATGTCTTTCCTTTGTTGGAGAATCCTCTTTATATAGGGTGCCTAACACACAGATAGATATATATCTAAATCTAATCATATCTTAGATTTAAAATTTAAATATGTACAGCTAAAAATTATCAACTATTAGAACAATAAAATCTTCCAACTTTAAACAGCAAATCTTTAAAGATTTGTTGATTCTGTTGACAGGAAGAATCTAGGAAGACTAAAAGTACTTTAAGGAGGTGGAAGAATAAATCGAAATATACAAAATTCAAGAAAATATGACTAGCTATTTATAACATATAGAAGACCTGAAGAGTTGAATCCTACCCGCACCCATTTCTGATAACTTTTTTAAACAAATAGACTACTTGAACTGTATCGAGAGAGTGAATAAACTTCATATGTCCAATTAATGTAGATATACATTTGAGTGCTTATTTATGTAACCAAGAAATGCTAGATTGATTATTGCTTCAAGATGAACTGGTATGTTTATTTTATTAGCTGTAATTTTTGTTTGCCTTGATGCAGTTGGTCTATAGTTGTCCTAAAGTGTGTGTGTGTGTATATATATAATACTTCGTGCGTAGCTAATACAAAATCACTTATTGAGATGTTTAGTGAAGTAAATTATGATGCGATATTTATCCAACATACAAAAGCATCTAGCTCAAGAAATGTTGTTTATTGGGTCAGACCTTTTGCGAGATATAGTGATTAAACTAGGCGTTAATATGTGGGATACATACTTTGATGCATAGCTTTTCTATGACCTTGACTTGTATTTTTTAGTCTAATTTTATTACAAGGATCATGTTTGCTTTTACTCTTAGAATGACTTTCTGATTTTGGCTTTACAGGCTATCAATTTCTCAAATATGTATGCCCCTGAACACTTGATCATTAATGTCAAAGATGCTGAAAAGTGGGAGAGTTTCATTGAGAATGCAGGTTATATCACCTTTTCTATATCTGCTTCTTGTCACGTGTCAATGTCTTAATCTTGTTTACCATTGCATTTTGTGGCTCTGTAGCTTCTTTTGATTATTATTTATCGCTCACCCCCCCTGCCTTTCCTGGGGAAGGGTTTTCACATTATAGATTGTTAAATTAAAGGTTACATAATGTTTTGTTGATTCCATCAGCGAAGCTTTCTAGTGGCCTTTTTGTCTTCGTAGTTTCTGGTCAACTATATATAACTAAATATAGTTCCCGCTTAGAGGTAGTTAGGAAGTGACCCAATAAGGAAAGTTTTATTACATTACTGGCCCAGGTATAGCGACTAATTTAGCACATATGTTAAGATTATACGCCATATAGCCTCGTCTGGTTGTGCTAATCTAAGTACTCTTCCCAGACTTCCGAAGTTGACTTTTTCTAAATGCCGAAAATATAATTGGAAAAATGTATTTTGACAGAGCATAAAAGTGACTTTGCTTGTGTGGCGTTTCACATAATGAGATAAATGTTTAAATGTGGAAAACAAAATATGATACCTATTGATTTGGTTTTTGATTTGTGTTTATAGGATCTGTATTCTTAGGGCAGTGGACACCTGAGAGTGTTGGAGATTATGCAAGTGGGACAAACCATGTGCTTCCAACTTATGGATATGCAAGGATGTATGGTGGGGTCTCTTTAGACTCCTTCCTGAAGTACATTACCGTGCAGTCCTTAACCGAAGACGGCTTGAGAAACCTTGGACCTTATGTAGCAACGATGGCAGATATTGAGGGACTAGATGCTCACAAAAGAGCAGTAACCCTGAGACTTTCAGACATCGAAGCAAGGCGAAAATCACAAACGAGATAGTAGTGGCATGCACGGCGAGACTCTTAACGGAGCTTGAGGGATCTGTGTTGTCTAGCTTTTGTCTGCTGTCGTGTTGTTCCTGAGTTTATTTAAAATCTTTCTGGAGGAACTTATCAATAGACAACAGTAAACTTCGACATGGAATTCCAAGATTGCACGGATTTGAAGTACTTCAAGTCTGGATACTATCCGAGGAAATGCCTTATACAGTAACTTTAAGAAACATCATTTTTTAAGACATTAATTTTACTTTATAACTCTTCACTGGACTTAAAATGATTTAAGAGATTCTTGCCTTGGGAAAAGCGGTGCTGGGTTGATTATGGCAACCACCTATAATTCATACACTTGACTCATGGATAAAGGAAAGGCATACTGCCAAGCATAATCCAATTTCACTTGGCCCCTGGATGAAACAAACAAGATGTATTGCGAAGCACAATCCCATTCCACTTGATGATTCACAAATCAAGCAATATACAAGAAGGTACAAACAAAGGCATCACCACAGAATAGTACACACGATCAACGTTTGTAATTAACAGTAGAAGCTTTCTAATGATTGTAAGGGTGTCCTGATAGCACGACCAACATTTGACCACATCTCACGCTCTGTTCATTCAACAGTCTTCAGGAATTGACGACTTAAGCAAACAACCTGACTAACCAAGAAAGATGTTTAAAGGACAAAAAAAAAAAAAAAAAAAGATGTTTAAAGGCAACAAATAACTATCATGCAGAAGCAAGTATTTCCTCCGATCCTACTTATAAGGCACAAATTCGTACTGGGGTTAGTTTTGATTTGTGCACTATAAATAGCACCATAATCCAGGAAGTAGGACCTCAATCAGTACTCAACACAGGTATTGCCAGCCCCTTTGTAACTTCGTCTGTAAATTCAATTGCAGGAACAGGAATAGACTCCCACCATTCCTTCAGTCTTCGATTGCCTTGTTCATTTACCATTAGCTTACCCAGTTTGGATGTGATCAAGAAGCCATAGAGAGTTGCAACAATCAGGAGATATTTCAAAGGAATGAGTGCCAGTACAATAGCAGACCCAATCAACACTAACATTACCAAATCTGTGTGCTGCAGAAGATATAAGAAGACAAATCACTCACTACAATTAGATATCTATTTCCTACGATTTCTATGTTCAAAGCATGATTGTGCTTATGATGTTGTTCCCTTCTTGTTACTTTGGAAAGGAAGCAGAGTAGGCAGCGGTACAAAATGTCCATGAGACATGATAACTAATCACTAGGTACTTAAGAGTCACATTTTTTAGTCATAAATTGGTACCTTTGGCGATCTTGCCGTCAGTATTGACCACACCTTCAAAAGTGCTATGTTTGTTTGCTGCATCACCTCATGTACAGTTCTTAGTCCCTGCTGTGCTGAAACAATACTCTCCATTGTTGACTGGTCAGATGCAGTACTGATGATAATTTTATCGCAATAGAGTTTTACTGTCCTCTTCCTCCGCATCCAAAATATTTTACCAGCAAGCCAAATAACAAAAACTGCCAAAGCTTTGCCCACCAACCCTCTACCCAGCAAAACTCAATTATTAGTAAATGACATGTCAGTTGAACATTGTAAAAAATGAATCCGAGAACTCACTTGTAAATAACAGTAAGCATCAATACAATGATGACAAAGTTAACATCTGGCCTTTCCCATCTAATTATATGCTGAAACCAAGGCAACACTCTCGCCAGCGGTTCAAGCAAGGCCTGTACAATCACATTTTCAAAGAGTGCCATGAAATAAAAAATTTGAATCCTGTATACCTTCTGCAAAAACTATCAAGTGATTTTCTGTTTTTCCCTATTTTTTTCAATTTTCTTTTTTCTTTTTTTAGAAAAGAAGAAGAATAAGAAGAAAGAAAACTATCCTTTTCCCTAGGTTTTACTTGATGAAATTCGACCTGGAAGGGGAACAACATCATATTATTCCTCCAATCTTGAACTAAGTGATTTTTCTACCATATTCTTAATACATTATAGCTAAACAGATCTCTACTCCGTTTAAGCAAGCTATGTCTCATTTACGATCTCAAGACTGAAAATATATTCTTGAACACCATTCATTCTGATATGATTGCCTGCCAATATGATACTTAATCCCAGACCATGAAGACAATTTACCCTGCCATACCCCATTTACCGGATGCCCATTCTTCTTCTCATTAACAAAAATTAATTTTGATAAACAGAACCAGTACTGGTAAACAAGACCAGTGCCGGTTCAGAAAATAGATAAGTATTGTTTTTCCCCCTTTTACTTACCAAAAGAACCCTGGCACTCTCACCGATTCCTTCCTCTTTCAGTTCCTCTACAGTAACTTTGGCCTTGTCAATTTCTCTTGCTTCCTCTCTTGCTTGATTTATAGTGCTGTCTAGTGAAGAGAACTTCTCAGTCTGGACGATTTCATCTGCATCATTTAATCCCTTGATGTCTGCATGAGTAACTATCTGCGACACATTTAAGCTCCTCAGGATTGTGCTAGCACTGCATGGATGCCCAGTATTCAGCTTCTTCAGATTTGAGCCGAGCTCTTCTAGAACATAATCGCCTTTTGGCAACTCATCGCATAATGCAAAAACTAGAAAGTTTCTCGGAATCGGGGGCGACATTCTGAGCATTTCTCTAGCCGCATGAAGCCTTAGAATCCCCAATATTGTGGAAGCATGAATCTCCCATGCTTCTATTGTTGATCCTACATTGAATTTCAACAAAAACTCATGCAATAATATGATTTCCTTCACCAGGGCAAGCCAAAGATCACGCCTGGTTGAGCTAGTCAGTTCTGGAAACTCTAGGATCACTCCTTCTTGCCTGAGGAAGTTAGAAGTCAGAAGTTACAACGATATGTTCTTTGTCAGTTTTCAATTTATTGTTTATGGCAACCGAGGAAGCAACGAACACATGATAGGACGGTTCTAAAATTTTTCCCCAAACAGTAAACACCGTATGCTGCCAACCAATGATAAACATTTCTACGAAAACTGCTTCTTAAAGTGAACCTTTCTCCGAACTTATGAAACGACAGATTTCTCAACCTCAGATCCGAATTGGCAAATTTCATATTAAAAACATTCAATGAGAATTCAACAAGAATGCACTCACAACTCGGACGACTCAATGATAATAGCCTTGTCAAAAAGGGGAGCGCCCCAAGGTCCAGTTGCAGTTGGTTTGACCTTCAAATCAGTGGCTTTAGAAAGATCAATCCTAAGTGCCTCTTCATATGTCACAACTCCAGATGGTTCAAAATAGAGGGCATAATTTGTTAACGTAAGCCTGCCTAAACAGAAAAGTAAACTTTAATTTGCATTCATGGCATTACTGAAGAAAAGATATCTGAAACAGAAATTTGACAAACCAGGCCAATTTGTTCCTCCAATGTGGCGCACTACTCTTTGTGTACTTGCAGTCCCCTCAACATGCAGTATAAACTCATCATCTGCAAGCTCCACTCTTGTCGGCATTGCTTGGCTTTGCAAATACTTTACACATCTAGGCAAGCAGTCATTTTTCTAACAGAATTAGGAAAGCATGCAAATTCCATCTTTTGAGAGGGAAAATTTTTCTCCCTTGAGACGAAAAGTAAATATGTGTTGCTTGTTACACACTTAGACTGGCCCAACACCACCACTGCAAGAAATTAGAAATGACAAAACATCCACTAGACTACGGTAGGCCAATTACGATTTCTTTTTTTGTTTTAGATGAAAAGCGCAAAAAAACCGTAGGGAGGGCATCAGTGAACCCAGTGTAAAACAGATTTACAAATGGTAATGGTAGTCATTGGTAGACTTGAATCAACTGACACCAACTGTATCTTAATGCCTTCCACTTATGCTTTCTGAATAAAGATTAGCATTCTCTATCAAAATGCAGCCTTATCACACTTCATTTGAAAGTGATTTTCACACTTCCAGGAAAAAACTAAGACATACTCTAATCAAACACAGGCATCAGATGCTTCATCAATCTGATATGTCTCTTTGTGTTATCGCGTGATCAGAATTACGATGAACCTCAAAAAGTTGTGATCGAATTGCTTACTTGTCAATTTCTTTCAAAAATCTATCATAAGCAGGCAAATGAAGTAGATTTCCAGTCGAAGCTGTAAGAGCTTCAAAGGTAAATCTTGCATTCACAACATCTGCTGCAAGAGGAGCAAGCGCTGCCAGCCACACAAAAGCATCTTCTGACGCACTTGGTCCATTGTCAACCTATCAAGATGAGAGCACAGCTGCAAATCAAAACCCTGGAGAATATTCAATACCATAGGATGTCCAGAGGTTGATATACTGTTACTAGTACATGACAGTCTTATTAACAGAACTATAGAAAGAAAAACACTAAAAGCCAGAGTCTCCTTACAAGAAGTGGCATAATATCTGAATAGAAAAGAGGAGTTTCATCCTGTTCCTTCGTGGTTTCGGCATATACTTTTTGGTCCTCTTTTTCTTTTCCCAAACACTCCTGCAATAGAAGTTCGGTGACAACTTAAAAACATGAATGGTTTTCATTTAAACTAGTGCATGGATTCAAACAACTGAACTTGAGAAATCCTGAGAGTATGACGAAGAAATAGAGTGCATTGTTTCTTAAGTTTCCACTATAGAAACTGTAAAATTTTACATAGGGTCCTTTATGTTAAAAGTAAAAAAAAAAAAAAATGACCTGGCAAAAAAACTTCTAATTGAACTCATTCTCTTTATTGACTCTACCCTTGATAAGACCGGAATAAATATACTGATAGAGACCAAAACCACACTAGCGTGTCACTTCCTTTGGCTATCAAAAATGCCTCAGACATAAAGTTTCCCTTTTAATCACCAGCTACCATGAACCATGGAAGAAAGGAAAGACATTTAGATGCATATCTGAGAGGAGCATACAAATGAATATCCTCCCATCTGAGACATTTAACCCCATATTTCCCTTTCTGCTTTAATGTAATTTTGATTTCGTTTCGCCATTTTCAAATTTCCTTTTCTTATGGATGAAAGTGAAGCTTGAACTTTTTTTACAATCAAAAGCACATTGCAAATATCACTACATGGGAGATGTTTCTACAAGTGGGAAACCGAGCTAGTATCACTCCTGGTGAGAATATTTTAAACTTATATGTAAATAAACTTCTTATAGCCAAAATTCAACTAAGGACTATAACAAATCCGAAACTACTAACAAAAAAGTCCTCTTATCACATTTGATGAATCTAATGAAGTTGTGTTTCAATCTTGGGATTGAATTCCTCCATGCAACTAACTGAAATAGTCTTTTGTTCACACTTTAATCAAGTATATATGCTAGATATTCACCTCAGTGAACTAAAATGCTCTGATTTTCCATGCAATACATTGTTTTAGTTCAGAACAGAGAGCCCCTTCCATGATTACTTAAAGATCTCCAAATCATTATAGCTTAAGCATTGCCTAATCTATACAACACAAAGTACAATGGTGATAGCGACATACAATCCATACATGTATATCCATACATGAATTGGAAGCAGCAGCTAGATACTCACAGCAGCCCGTGACTCTTCATCAGCTGAGTTTGGCATCTCCCAAGCAAGCATCATATGAAACGTGAATCGACTAAACGAACCATCACTAATCTTTTCCTGTAAATTGGTGAACAAGTTTTTAAGTGCTTTCGAGCAGCTATAATCCAACAACTTCTTTGAGTATTCACCCAATGAAGGCTCCCATTCTGATTCAAACTGTTGTATCAATTGATCAACCGGTGTGTCCACCTCCCTGAAAACAAAAGTTTCCAAATTAAAACTCCCCATTCTGAATAGTGGAGTATATATTATATGCATAAATATGAGGCGCAAATTTGCATGTTTGCATTTGGTGATGATGACGATAAGCATGAACCCTCCACCAGGATATCACTGTTGTAGATCCTCCTCCTTCTTCTTCTTCTTCAAAAAAAAAAAAGAATAATAAAACTAGAAATTTGCATTTATTTTATGATCCCACATCCTGGAATTATGTGTCCAGTTAATCTGTTGGCACATAAAAACAGCTTCACAGCACATAATAATACACAATATGTAATTTGTGACAATTTGTTCGATACATCTTCTGTATTACTAGAGGCAGTTTCGTGTCCATTTTCTTAGTGAAATCATTCAATCCCATGTTTAAAGATATAAGAATGGTTATTATGTTTAATTTTTAAAATTTTGTTTGCCTCCCAACTTCCTAGTAAAGAGAAAGGCGGAAAACAAAAGAACAAAAGAGAGGAAAAAATAAAGGTGGAAAATAAACACGCCCACACACAGTGAAACAAACAACAAAAAAATGGAGAAGGAAATGATAACTGGGCACAGCGGCGAAGAACATCAACAGCAATTGAGGAGAGAGACTTCTTTCCCATTCCCTTGGAAGCTTTCTCTTCGATGGCCGGATCAGATTTTGAATTGAATTTTGGATACTCTTTTAAACAATTCTTATGTTTATCATTCGAATTTTTCTGCAGTTTATTTGGAAGATTTAAACTCATAAATAATAGCAGAAGACGAAGAGATAGTGTATTTCTCTACTATTGTGTTTGTGTGCGTCATGCGGGAGGGTGAGTCAGGAGCTGAGCATTATGGAGAGTGACACGTGGCGGCCATGCAACAGACCTGTTTGTTCACCAGGGACAAGCATTTACATGTATTACACACACCTACCATTTTTAAAATTTGAGTGTTACTACGCGCACCTTTTTTTCACGTTAATTTTTTTTCTAACTGATCAAGTTTTCTACTTCCATCCACTTTCTCCGGATCTTTCACTTCCTCAATTATCGCTTCAAATTTTGATCCAAATTTTGAACAAATAATTGTCAATAGATTTCTTATTCATTTTTCTTCTCCTATGTTGTTGTATCTTCTTTTATTTTTTTCTTCTCAGATTTCAAATTCTCAAGTATAAATTATTTCAAATTCTTATTGGGATTTTCAAATTAAAAGATGAATGTGAATTTTCTTTATTTAGAATTTTATTTTTGGATTTTTGCTTTTAATTTTTAGATCAGTAGAATTTTTTTTAACTCTGTTTAGTTCGATTGAATTGCAATTGAAATGAAATTACAATACTATTGAATTAAAAATAACAGATTAAGATTGTAACTCAATCCTAATTCCTTTGTTTGGGAGATCTTGAAAATTGGCTAGAATTAAGGTTGCCAATTTAGGTTCTAATACCAATTCTTGCGTTTGGATGGATAAAAATTTACATATTTTAAAATTAGAATTAGCTTCCTATTATTTAACTAATACAATTTAATTCATTTAAAAAAAAACTTTAGTTTCTTATTAATATGATAATTGATATTCTCACTCAATACACAACAAATAATAAGTAAAATGTTCTTATTTCTCTCCCGTTAATTAGATTTTAACATTTTTAATTTCTAATATTTTGAATTTTTTAGTATCTTTTGATGAAAAAATTAATATTTAATATAAAAATCAGTTTATGCATGCTGGGGTCAGTTTGTTTTGGGGGTTTGGGAATTGAGGAATGGACTAATTGACAAAAACAATGTTTGTTTTACGGGTTTTAAAACGAAAATTTTGGAATTATGTCAAATATCCGGGAATCTGTTAAATCCACCTAAGGGGAGGGTTTCATAAATGATTCCAACTTATCAATTAGCAATTTTTCTCTTTTTTACTAATTTCTCCTTTACGTCTTTTTTTCTTCTGCCAAATTATATCGTTATCTTCTCCGTATCAAATCTCTTCCAATTTTCTTCTCTGCGTTTCACCTTTCTGCGAACTGCGATTTACCCATACTTTTTCCCACCCCCGCCTTGCTTCTCCATCGTTTCCTGCTCTGTCGTCTCAATCACTCCCCAATTTTCTCCAAATTCTTATCTTCATCGCCTCACTCTTTTGTATATATGTATACATACATGTCTTCATGTTTTCCCCCTGCAACATCGTGTTCATCTTCCTCTTCTTTAGGTATGTCACTCTTCTTTTTCTTTTTTTTGATTTACAATTGTATTCTAAATTAAAATTTTGGTTTCTTTATGCTTTGTCTTGCTTTCGGTCATTGATGGGAATGATTTTGAATCTGTCAAAAGCTTTATTTTGGTCATTAAAATGTGCGAGTATATAAGAATCTACTGGTTAAGTAGTCGGCGTCGTTTTTGCATGCTCAACTGGGCTCTATTGCCTTTCTTCATCAATCTGAAATCAAATTAATTTTCTTCTATTTTGCCGTCTAGGTTTTCAATTTGTCATTGACGAGCTCGCCTAATTCAGAGCTTTTATGTGTTCTTTCTTTCTCCTAATAGGGCAGGGATTGATCAAATTTTGGCGTGACAAGTTGCGGCGGAAGCGACGAATCTATCACCGCTTTCGGGTTTAGGTGAGTTCAGCTTTTTAAACTTGCATTGATTTTTTATTTTTTTTTTGGGTTATTGTAAACTTTGATTGCATTTGAGTTTTTGAATATTCATGAGGAAAATTTGGTGCAATTTTTTTGGTTTTGCAATGTTTTCTGTTTGCTTTTTGTTTGGATAAAACTACAATAAATTGAAATTTAGACGTGGGTTTATGTAATCATTGTATTTTAGTTGCATCTTATTGCACACTTGTGCTGATTAAATTAGTACCATTAAACTCGATTGTGATCTATGTCATGGTATAGGTATGATCTTTGATTCATAATGTTATGTATAAAGCCTTTCGGCGGATTCTTTTAACACGCTTAGTAAGTTAAGAGTTGTTATCTAGAAATGTATATTTCATTATGTGAACGGTTGCTAATCCTTGTTTTTAGTAATTGATCATTGTCATAGGTTCTCATTCTTTTTTGAATATTTGAATCTCTTTTGTTTGCTTCGATTTGGAATGCATATCGTGGGATGTTAATTTGCAGTTGGCCCTTGTTGTAACTTGAGCCTTTTTTAGAATGTCAAATGATTGCCATTCATGTTTTTTTTTGATTAATTTCTGATTTTGTTTTCATTTCATTTCTTTGTAGAATATTATGGCACGTAGCCCTGTTACTAGTAGACGACGCAAACTAATTCGAAATGTTCGTATTATGGCATCATTGGTTAATTTGTTTACTTTAGTTTTTGTTACTTGGTATCAAATGTTGTTGACGTATTTGCACATTATAAGCTCCCCATTGAAAACTAAAGATGAAATAAAGACTGGAGAGAATGAATTGGGTGTATAGGCTCACAAAACAATCTGATACTGTTTATATTAGTCAGCTCCGAATGGATAGACGTACATTTGGTTTATTATGTGAGATGGTAAGAGATGTTGGAGGTTTAAAAGATATGAAGAACACTTCATTAGAGGAAATAGTTGCTCTCTTTTGTTTATGTGTTGGCTCACCATGAAAAGAATAGGACAATGGGTTTGGTGTTTTATCGAAGCGGTGAAACTATTAGCCGCCACTTCAATAGTTGCCTTTTAGCAATCTTGAAATTACATGAAATATTGCTTAAAAGACCTCAACCTATCACTGAAGATTGTGAAGACAACCGTTGGAAGTCTTTTAAGGTACTTTGGGAGTTAATTGTTTTTGGTTTTGTAAACTTTAATGCACTACACAAGGACTCACTTTTGTATTCTGATTTTATTCAAATAACAGGGTTGTTTAGGGGCCTTAGATGGAACCTTAATCAGAGTGACACCCCCATCTGATGAAAAACCAAGATATCGCACCAAAAAAGCCAATATTGTGACAAATGTATTAGGCGCGTGTTGTCCAAATATGCAATTCATATATGTTTTGCCTGGCTGGGAGGGGTCAGCACATGATGGTCGTGTACTTTGAGATGCTATTGGTAGGCCTGATGGTCTTAAAGTACCTCGAGGTAAATTTTTATATTTAAATTCATTAATATGAAAATGAATGTATATTCATTGTTTGTTTCATTTAAACACTAATGCATGTTTTATTTTTAAAGGTTGTTATTACTTGGTCGATTCTGGATATTGTAACGCTGAGGGATTTTTATCTCCATTCGACGCCAGCGATATCATCATAATGAGTTTCAAGGTCATCGGCCGAGGGTAGCTCAAGAATATTTTAACATGAAACATTCTAAGGCTAGAAATGTGATTGAGAGATGTTTTGGGTTACTTAAAGGACGATGGAAAATATTAGATTCCCCATCTTTTTTCCCCATTGAAACTCAAGTGCGCATTATTTTGGCAAGTTTTCTTCTTCATAATTTGATAAGGAGGTACATGAGTTTTGATCCACAAGAACTGGAACCAGTTGACGAAGATGAACTTCAAGATGATGACCCCCTTGAGAATGAAGGCTATGTGACATTGATTAACCCATCACAAGAATGGCTCAACTTTAGAAATGATTTAGCCAAAGAAATGTTTAATAGTTGCAGAGGCAGGCATAATTCTTGAAAGCGTGCTTCTTGTCGTAGATGATTAATTATCTTGTTGTTTTTCTTGAATATTTGCAAATATGTCATTGATTTCTTGAACAGTGATTTAATTTCTGTGGTGTTCTATTTTGCAAAGTTTCGAAATTTGAACTATTGAAAATCTTTAACTTTGTTTATTATGCTCATAGGTGTGCTAGGATGGAGCAAGATGATGCTTGTCGAGGTCGTGGAAGAAATAAATGCTTTTGGTCAGAAGATGAAGTGCAGATATTGATACAAGTTCTTCAAAGTATGGCTTGTGATCTATCGTGGAAAACTGATAGCAGGATAGTTGTTAAACGAGGAAATATTGGGTAGTTAGAATCAGTTACAAAACAGTAGTTAGGTAGTTAGTTAGTTGGTTAGAAATATGGTAGTAGCAGGAACAGGAGTGCAGACTGTCACTTTGTTAAGTGGAAAATGCCACTCGCCTAAGTGAGCAGACAGTAACTGCCTTGCTACCATCTTTCCCTTCTATCCTCTAACCTTTTGATCTTAAGTGATGTACTCCCTCCGTCCCATAATTATTGTCCAATTTGAGTTTTCATTTTTAGTTCAAATTGTACTAAAAGTGAGATCTCAAACTGGACAATAATTTTGGGACAGAGGGAGTACTATCTTTTGCGCTCTGTTGCTCTCATGTTTAAATCAATAAGCATGAGTAGCTAACTCAGTTAAGAGTTCAATCCTTATTATCTTTATGTGAAGGTTTTGATTTAGTTTTCCTTGATGAGACATTGTTTCTGGTTTAAGTGCTTTAATTAACCTTTTGATTAAATTGGCCACTTAATTAAATGTGCATGTATGTTATGGAGATCTGAGAGGGCAAACATAACTAGAACGTCTTAAATCAGTCTATGACAAAGGAGGAAATCTACCCTTTGGTTTCAATCATCAACTAGAGTTAGGTGACTGGTATAGGTGATCAATAGGGATTAAAAACTCAATGACTTAGATTAATCTGAGGTAGG